GGGCGTGACGGTCGAGCGAGTTTTTGCTTGTGCTCGAATTAATGTAGCATGTAGGCTTGGTCGAGTGAATGATTCGAACTCGAAATTAATATAGCCCGTAGGCTTAATAACTGAGTGAGTGTTTACTCGAACTCAAAATAAAAAATAAAAAATAGCCCGTAGGCTTGATCGAGTGAATGATTCGAACTCGAATTAATGCACCCCGTAGGCTATTTGGTCGAGTGAGTGTTTGCTCGAACTTGAAATGATAAATAGCCCGTAGGCTTGATCAAGTGAATGATTCGAACTCGAATTAATGAAGCCCGTAGGCTATTTGGTCGAGTGAGTGTTTGCTCGAACTCAAAATAAAAAAATAAAAAATAGCCCATAGGCTTGATCGAGTGAATGATTCGAACTCGAATTAATGCAGCCCGTAGGCTATTTGGTCAAGTGAGTGTTTGCTCGAACTCGAAATGAGAAATAGCCCGTAGGCTTGATCGAGTGAATGTTTGCTCGAACTCGAAATAATGCAGCCCGTAGGCTATTTGGTCGAGTGAGTGTTTGCTCGAACTCGAAATGAAAACATAGCCTGTAGGCTTGATCGAGTGAATGATTCAAACTCGAATTAATGCAGCCCGTAGGCTATTTGGTCGAGTGAGTGTTTTCTCGAACTCGAAATGAGAAATAGCCCGTAGGCTTGATCGAGTGAATGTTTGTTCGAACTTGAAATACAATATATAGCCCATAGGCTTAATGGTCACATTATATCTTAATTCTTCACATGTTATTACACGCCTGGGTTAGGGCCAACTTATACGAGCATGGCTCGCTTCGACCATTTGGCTCTTTATAGTTTTCCTATCGGGACCCTGTTGCTATGAAGTAATTTTCTTACGGGGCCTCGGATATTATTATAAATGCTGCATGACCAGTAGTTGCATCATTAAAAACCTTGCTGAAAAACCCATTTGGGATAAAATCGGTCTAAGCAAAAAAGAGTGCAACGCGTGCTTTCTGACGAGAGATCCGTCCCTTATTCGAACTTCTGTAGGGGTCAGTTTCGAGATATAAACGAATATGGAAAGGTTGTACCTTAACAATAGTACCATTTTAGATGTGATACATTCCAGTTGCTTGATAACTGTTTACCGTTTATAACGCCGATCATGTACGACCCCTTTCTGATGTCCTCGAGTACTTGATATGGTCCTTCCCAATTCGGTCCTAGCTTCCCTTCATTCGGATTCCGGGTATTGATGCTAATTGTTCTCAACACTAAGTCCCCAGGCTTGAAATGGCGGATCTTGGTTCTTTGATTATAATACCTTTCGATTCGCTGCTTTTGGGCGGCCATTCGGACGAGGGCAGCTTCTCGCCTTTCGTCCGATAGTTCGAGGCTTGTGTTCATAGCCTCGTTATTTGATTCTTCCGTCGAGAATCAAAATCTGGCACTGGGTTCACCAACCTCGACTGGTATCAATGCTTCGGATCCATATACTAAGGAGAATGGGGTCGCCCCCGTACTGGATTTTGATGTTGTCCGATATGCCCAAAGGACTTCGGGTAGGATTTCCCTCCATCTCCCTTTAGCATCGTTCAACCTCTTCTTTAAGTTTTGAATGACAGTTTTATTCGTTGATTCAGCCTGCCCATTCCCACTAGGGTGGTACGGCGTCGACAGTATCCTTCTTATCTTGTGGTCTTCGAGGAATCTTGGTACTTTGCCGCCAATCAATTGCTTTCCATTGTCACATACTATTTCAGCGGGTATCCCGAACCGGCATATGATATGATCCCAAATAAAGTCTATAACTTCTTTCTCTCTTATTTTCTCGAACGCCTGCGCTTCAACCCATTTAAAAAAATAGTCAGTCATAAACAAAATGAATTTGGCTTTACCTGGGGTCGATGGCAGAGGGCCGACGATATCCATTACCCATTTCATGAAAGGCCACGGGGATAGGACCGAGTGGAGTTGTTCTCCGGGCTGATGGATCATTGGTGTGAACCTTTGACATTTATCACATTGGCGAACAAATTCCTTCGTATCTTTGCCCATATCAATCCAATAATACCCTGCTCTGATTATTTTTTGGACTAATGTGTCGGCTCCAAAGTGATTCCCGCAAGTACCCTCATGCAATTCCCGTAGGACATAATCGACATCCCCCGGACCCAAGCATACTGCCAATGGTCCATCTAACGTTCTTCGGTACAGTGTTCCATCTGAAGCCAGAGTGAATCGAGCAGCCTTGGTCCGTAGGGTTCTGGAATCTTTAGGGCCTAATGGGAGTTTTCCGTTTTTCAAATATTTGATATACTTGTTTCTCCAATACAATGTTAATCTTGTAGAATATATTTCGGCGTGTCCTTCTTCGATTACCGATCTCGAAAGTTGAACTACATTCCCCGAGCCTGTATCATCTACCTCGACCGATGACCCCAAATTCGCCAGTGCGTCGGCCTCATTATTCTGTTCCCGTGGCACATGCCGTAAAGTCCATTGTTTGAAATGGCGCAAAGTGATAAGTAGTTTATCTAAATACCTCTACATTCTACCTTCTCGAACTTCAAAAGTTTTGTTTACTTGACTTACCACCAGCAAGGAATCGCAGTTGGCTTCAACGATTTCTGCTCCCAAATTTCTAGCTAGCTCGAGACCTACAATCATGGCTTGCTCTTCTCGAAATAGGACACCGCTTACGGCGACATCCGATACTGCCAAGTACAAACAAAGTTTCTCATCGGTTTTTGGAGTGTGAAGCAGTGGTGCGCTTGATAGATATCGTTTTAGTCCTTCTAATGCTTTTTGGCACTCCGGGGTCCAAGAAAAATCGTTCTTCTTTTTGAGTAGAGAAAAAGATTTATGACTTCGATTGGATGATCTCGATATGAATCGGCTTAAGGCGGCGATCCGACACGTTAGTCTTTGCACGACCTTCACGCTGTCTACGACGGTGATGTTTTCAACAGCCTTGATTTTATCGGGATTAATCTCTATTCCCCGATGTAATACCATGAAGCCGAGGAACTTGCCCGAACCGACCCCGAAGGCACATTTTTCGGGGTTGAGCTTCGTTTTGTATTTCCTTAGAATCTCGAACGTTTCCTGCAAATGAATTAAATGGTCCTCTGCGCGCAGGGATTTGACTAACATGTCATCAATATAAACCTCCATTGATTTTTCTATTTGTTATTCCAACATTTTATTCACTAGGCGTTGGTAAGTGGCCCCTGCGTTTTTTAGCCCGAAGGGCATCACATTATAGCCCCTGGTCCTCCGGGTTCATCTGTATTTGATTATACCCAGAATAGGCATCGAGAAAAATGAGGATCTCGTGGCTGGCCGTGGCATCGATCATGCGATCGATGTTGGGCAACGGAAATGAATCTTTGGGGCATGCTTTGTTCAAATCCTTATAGTCCACGCACATTCTAACTTTGTCCCCTTTTTTAGGGACTACAACTACGTTGGCTAACCATTCGAAATACTTTACCTCCCGAATGGACCCTATTTTGAGAAGTTTGGTTACCTCGTCCTTTATGAAGGCGTTCTTTCTATCGGACTGGGGTCTTCTTTTTTGCTTCACCGGTATGAACCTATGGTCCAAACTTAGCTGATGCGTCATTATGTCCGGCGGGATCCCTGTTATATCTAAATGGGACCAGGCGAAACAATCGATGTTATTGATAAGAAATTGAATGAGTTTCTTCCTAAGTTCAGGGCTCAACCCCATTCCCAAGTATACATTTTGCTCGGGCCGACGCTCGATTAATATGACTTGCTCTAGCTCCTCGATTGTCAATTTTGTGGCATCGGAGTCATCAGGAATTACGAAAGATTGAGGGACCCTTCGGTCTCCATCCTTTTCGATTATCTGGTTGTCTGGCTGGGTTAAAACCACTGTCTGTGATTGATATTTGGTGTCCCGTTCTCCTTTCGGGACCGATCCTTTTATCGGCGAAAGTGAGGACATTGGTTTGGCTTCGTCGATGGCGAACATTTCTTTTGCGGCTGGTTGCTCTTCGTACACCATTTTGACATCTCCCGACGTCGGAAATTTGAGGACCTGGTGTATGGTCGAAGTCACGGCTCTCATGTTGTGGATCCATGGCCTTCCGAAAAGGGTGTTATATCTCATATCGCCTTCGATCACCTGAAACTTTATTTCCTGGACAGTTCCGGCCACGTTTATTGGTAAGGATATCTCCCCTTTGGTGGTTTCTCATGCCATATTGAACCCGTTTAGGACCAGAGTTGCAGGTACGATCCGATCCTGCAGGCCGAGCTACTCTACTACCTTCAATCGGATGATATTGGCCGAGCTACCTGGATCGATCAACACGCACTTAATTTTAGTTTTACTTACGAGTACGGATATTACCAGCGCGTCGTTGTGAGGTTGGATGACCCCCTCTACATCTTCATCATCAAAGGACAAAGTCCCCATGGGTGCGTAATATTGAGTCCGAGATCGTTTTTCCCTCACCATCGATGTTTTAGTACGTTTAAGCATTGGTCCCCGGGGGGTATTGGTGACGCCGATGATCATGTGGATAATGTGCTGTGATTCTTCTTGCTCGTTTTGCTTGCTGAAATCCCTATTTTTAAAATGGTTCTTTGCCCTATCACTCAGAAACTCCCGAAGATGCCCTTTGTTAAATAGGCGAGCTATTTCCTCTCTTAGTTGCTTGTAATCTTTCGTTCTGTGGCCATGTGTACCATGATATTCGCACGTTTGATTGGGATTTCTTCAGGCAGGATTGGTTTGCATTGGTCGAGGCCATTTAGTGTATTCGATGCATCTGATGGACGACAGGAGAGCGGATGCACCAACGCTGAAGTTATATTCTGATAATCGAGGTGCTTCTATAGGCTCAGCATATTTGTCGAAGCCGCTCTTACTCATAAGCCCCCGACAATTTTGTCCCCGATCGATTTTTTGACTGTTGCGTGTTGAACCATTGTTTACCCGATTGGTGACGTGTGGTCGATATTGGTCTCTGTTCGACCTTTACTCTCAGTCGATCTGCTTTTGTTTAATAACTATCCTGTTCTGATGAACAGGTTTGCACGGGGTCCCCGAATGATCATACTCGACCCTAATTTTCGATTGATATCGGTTTTGCGCATCTGCCCAGCTTACCGCTGGATACTCGATCAAATTTTGTTTCAGCCGATGTGATGACGTCGAACTTAGCTCATTCAACCCTTGGGTGAAAGCTTGTACAGCCCAGTCGTCGGTGACCGGGGGTAATTTCATGCGTTCCATTTGAAATCGGGATACGAATTCCCTCAGTATTTCTCCCTGCCTTTGCTTTACTTTGAAGAGGTCTGATTTTCTCGTTGCAACCTTTATAGCACCAGCATGCGCTTTTACGAACGAATCTTCTAACATGGAAATAGAATCGATGGAATGTGGTGGTAAATTGTGGTACCAAATCATAGCTCCTTTCGAGATGGTCTCCCCGAACTTTTTCAATAGCACGTATTCGATCTCATCATCTTCCAAATTGTTGCCTTTTATGGCACATGTGTAAGAGGTAACATGTTCGTTAGGATCGGTCGTACCGTTATATTTGGGAATTGCGGGCATACGGAACTTTTTAGGGATTGGCTTTGGTGCCGCACTCGATGGAAAAGGCTTTTGTATGAATTTTTTGAATCAAGCCCTTTTATCATTGGTGGAGCCCCCGGGATTTGATCGACCCTGGCATTATACGTTTCCACCCTCTTTTCGTTGGCTTCGACTCATTTTGTGAGTTCCTCGAGCAATTTAGTAATTCCGGGAGTGGTCCCCGATTACTATGGCAGGCTCTGTTATGGGGGTGACCTCTCGAAGTGGATTACAAACCGGCCTGCTTTGTGCGTGAGTTTGGCTCTGTAGCTGAGCTATCGCTAATTGCTGGGCTTGCAACATCTCGAAGATCATGCGTAAGCTGGCCCCGACCTCCTCTAGGTTTTGGGTGTCTTGGGCTACGGATCGAGCACCGCCCTGAATGCTTCTTTCCGATTCGGAACGCTGGTTCGGTATGCTTTGTGCGCGAGTTTTGCTCTATAGTTGAGCTATCGCTAATTGCCAGGCTTGCAACATCTCGAAGATCATGCGTAAGCTGGCCCCGATCTCCTCTGGGTTTTGGGTGTCTTGGGCTACGGATCGAGCACCGCCCTGAATGCTTCTTTCCGGTTTGGAACGCTAGTTCGCTTCCAAAGCAATTTGTGAATTGACATCCAATGGTATTTCGGCTCGAATCTCGGGTAGTTCCAAGTTGTTGGTTTCATCTTGAAGGCCATCTCCGTAATCGGTCGGTGAAGCCATTCAGCCGGTGTCTATTCATAGCCGAACCTGAATTGAAGGTGTTTTCGGAAATAAGTTACCACTATTATCCTCGGCCCCATGGTGGGCGCCAAACTGTTTACCCGAAAAATGGATAGAGTTGAATTTATACGCAGTTCCGAAGATATGTGGTACAACTTTAATACAGAACGCTAGGATAAATAAAAGTATGAATATAGATTGGAGCAAACGTAATCTAGGCTAATCAATCACGAACAGTGAATTTTAGGATTTAACAAAATAGAATCAATCTAAGAAACTAGAATGATCACTCTTGCTTGTAGAGGAAATAATATAATTTGTGATAGCGTAAGTCTTAGAAAAAGATGTGTGTACAGAAATGATAACCAAGCCCTTTTATAGTGGAGGGATTTGGCTCCAAGCAAAATAAAATAAACATCCAGTGGGAGACCCATGATAAATCAGTTTTTCCATAATTTCGGCCAAGATCCCCTCTAGTGGGATTACAACGGCTTTTGTCTGCGAGCTCGATCTTGCTTAGAGTCCTCAATTTTGATTCGAGCTTGATTTCGGCCCAAACTTGTGACCTTGGTTTGAGACCGACACCAGTTCAAGCCCTTGAATTGATTCTAGGTCGATGTAGGTTGGTTTTTGGATTATCAACATGATAGATCTATCCGTGCCATGGTTCGATTCTTGATCGAGTTTGATTACGATATCGATCTCATCACGGACCGGCCTCCCCGGGTTCTAGATTAGTTCGTGCCCCTTTCGGGATCTTACTTCGATACACCATCCTTCGAACCGTACCGGACATGCTAAGGCTGAAATCTATTTCGACCGTATACAATATGCATATGCATGACATTATAAATTTGAAGTGATTCACAAAGTTATTCAGATATACATGTCGAGTCTTTTACTACATGTTTCTCTCATGTCTATTGTTTATTGATTTTTATTCCTTACATACTCGGTACATTATTTGTACTGACATCCTTTTTGCCTGGGGATGCTGCGTTTCATGCCCGCAGGTCCCGGTAGACAGGTTATGATCCCTCCAAGTAAGCTATCAGACCAGCGAAAGATGTTGGTGCACTTTATTTGCTCCGGAGTTGCTTGTTTGGTTAGTATGATTTAGACGTGTACTGTTTGGTATGGTGGGGCTATGTCCCGACCTTTATGACAAATATAAATTCTTAGAGGCTTGTAGAAATATGTCATGTACGTAGACGATTGTACGGCCTTATTTTGGTCTTATAGGCCCGTATATCTTATGTATAAATTGGTATTTCATGTTGTATTCTACTTATCTCACGGCAGCCTCTCCGGCTCAGTTATTTATGATAGTATGATACAAAAAGATACGTTATATTGGTACTCGGTTGAGTAAGTTACCGGGTGCCCATCGTGGCCCATCGGTTTGGGTTGTGACAATTCGTCCGTCTCTGCTCTACTTTGCGATGCTTATGCGGTCCGCGGAACCGTTTTACGGTCGCAAAACTGACCGCAGAGCTAGCCTTTGGGAATTTGTTCATAACCTCTTGTAGGTGTGTCCAAATGAAGAACGGTTTAAAACGTTAGAAACTAGACTCGAAGATCTTTCATTTGATAGGTTGTCCATCACATGCATCCTTATATATATGTAGGTATGCTTGTCCAAAGTTTGGTATTGTGCCTACTCATTTGGAATGTTAGTCTAACTTGTAATTTCCAACTCGACTTAGGGCTCTCCTTAGACCCCACATCACTTATAATATGTCTTGTACACTTATTATCATATCCAATTGATATCTATCATATTAATAGTCCTCGTCTGTACACAAAATAATATAATTAGCGCACATCAACATTCTTAATATCGCTTAAGTACTTCAAATTTTTTTCGGGGTGTTACAGAGTGTATTTATTGCATACTTGGGCGATTTTGGAGCTTCAAAAAGGGGTATTTCAATGTAGCTATTGAAGATAAGTAATTTCTACCTAATGTGAGTTTAATACATAGATTATGGGTAGATTTTGAACATGTAAATTTGTGAAAATCATGGGTTTAGATGAAAAATCTAGGTTTTTGATAAAAATGAGATTTAACCACGAAAATAGTTATGGAATTTAGTGAAAATTATATATTTGAGTTCATGAGGTTATGGACAACAACTTTATTCAAAGATTTCTGGAATCCGGACACGTGGGTTTGGGGGGTGAATTTTAGGAATTTCTTCAATTAGGGTTGGAAAATCACTTTCATAGTTAGGATATGAATTTTTTAACATGTATTGATTATTTTATATAACATTTGACTAGTTTCGAGTCGTTTGGCACCGAGTTGAGGGTTTAAAGCACAATTGTGGACCAGAAAGTAAGCTTTGAGATGAGGTAAGTCTCTTTTCTAACCTTGTAAGAGGGAACTCATCCCCTTAGGTGTGTTTTATTGTAAATCATCTGTATGGGGAGCTACATACACACTAGGTGATGAGAGTCCGTGCGCAGCTACATTCCAAGTGATATCCGGGTAGTCTTAGGTCTACATCATGCCTTTGTTGACACCGTTATATGATCATGCTTTGTAATTGCATTGAATAAGAGCTGAGATTGAGAAAGATTTAATGTTTCCAGTTTGGATTCCTTATGTTTGGAAAGAATTGAAGAATATTATGATAACTTTGAGAAATCTATGTTTACTCGCATCGCAAGTATTTATTTCTGCGAGCGAGGTAAATATTTTCACTACTCTCTTGGGAGCGGGCCGTTCGCCTTGGCAGGTTAATACATGCATCTATGGTTCGTGCCGTTCGACCCTCGGCAGTGCACATTTTATATATTTCTATGTTGGATCAGGTCGTACGTCCTCAACATAATTCGTGCGTGATAAACTTTGGAGCCCAATTATAATTGAGAGACTAATTTTATTAAATAATGAAAATTAATTTGGAATTTAATATTAGTGAAAGAATTATTCATTTATTTCTTGTTATTGAGTTTTCAGCTGTATTTATATAGTCCATGCTTAGTTATAAATTTCAGTATTCTATTGTTAGCCCATAGTAAGTGTCGAAGTCGACCCCTCGTCACTACTTCTTCGAAGTTAGACTACATACTTACTAGGTACATATTGTTTATGTACTCACGCTATACTTCTGCACTAAATGTGCAGAATCTGAGGCAGGTGCATGAATATTAGTCCGGTGCACATCCTTGATTCTACGAGACTTTGTGGTGAGCTGTCTTCCGAGCCGTTTTGCAGCAGCCTAAATCTTTCTTTGCCTTTATTATCCGTCTATCTCACTTCAGACAGTAGTGTAGTATTCTTTTGTATATCCTACTAGTAGCTCATACACTTGTGATACCAAGTCTTAGAAGTTTTGCTAGTAGACACATGATGATTTTTGGGTTACTTTACTTATCTCATTTGCTCTTAAAAAAAAGAAATTTATTTTCTATCATCTTATTACACTTTTACGTTCTATTCATGCTCTAATTAAAAAGCAGCTATTTTAAAAATGTTAAAAGAAACAATCATATGGTTAGTTCACTGTTGGTTTGCCTAGCGGCAACGTTAGGCGCCATCACGGCCTATAGGAGAAATTGAGGCGTGACATAGTAATTGTTCATTATGTTGGTGTCAGTATTGTAAATAACTAATTTTTGACCACACCTGAATTCTATACTATTTTACTGTAAATATATTTTTTTGGTCTAAGCTTGATATTTTAAATTTGTATCTTACTCTTAAGAGGTTTTATTTAAAAAAAAAAATTAAAAAACTACAAAAATACTCACATTCGTTGAGTATACATTTTATTTCTAAAAAAGAAAATTAAAAATATATATATGTACCTATATATGGTATCTTTTAATTAAAACTTTAATAAGTAAGCTATAGAATCTTTCTTAGTATATTTATCTTGGTGTAAAAAAGTGGTTGTTCAATATTATTATTTTTATAATTAACCTTATATTTTGAAATGAAAGACAAAAGAAAAAAAGAAAAAAAGAAAAGAAAACATAATGAAGTTAGAAAAGTTTGTTAATAAACTTCCTGTAATACTCCATACATAAGTTAGGATATTTAAGTCATTACCATAATAAATAAATAAATAAAAAGGAGACCAAAAAAAAAAAGAATTACATGGGCTGAGGCCCACCAT